GTGTCAGCCAAGAAGAAGAACTCCAAGAAGGCGCAGCCCAACAGCAGCTACCAGAGCAACATCGCGCACCTCAACAATGAGAACCTGAAGAAGTCGCTGTCGTGTGCCAACCTGTCCACATTCGCCCAACCCCCGCCGGCCCAGCCGCCCGCACCCCCAGCCAGCCAGCTTTCCGGCTCCCAGACTGGAGTCTCCTCTTCTGTCAAGAAGGCCCCGCACCCTGCCATCACTTCTGCAGGGACACCCAAACAAGCCCTCCTCCAGGCGTCCACTAGTGAGCTGCTACGCTGCCTGGGCGAGTTTCTCTGCCGCCGGTGCTATCGCCTGAAGCACTTGTCCCCCACGGACCCTGTGCTCTGGCTGCGCAGCGTGGACCGCTCGCTGCTTCTGCAGGGCTGGCAGGACCAGGGTTTCATCACACCGGCCAACGTGGTCTTCCTCTACATGCTCTGCAGGGATGTTATCTCCTCCGAGGTGGGCTCGGACCACGAGCTCCAGGCTGTCCTGCTGACCTGCCTGTACCTCTCCTATTCCTACATGGGCAATGAAATCTCCTACCCGCTCAAGCCCTTCCTAGTGGAGAGCTGCAAAGAAGCCTTTTGGGACCGTTGTCTCTCAGTTATCAACCTCATGAGCTCCAAGATGCTGCAGATCAATGCTGACCCACACTACTTCACACAGGTATTCTCCGACTTGAAGAATGAGAGTGGCCAGGAGGACAAGAAGCGACTCCTCCTGGGGCTGGATCGGTGAGCCCCTGTAGCCGGAATCCCGGCTCAAGGGTTCCATTCGTTTTTAAAAATTTATTACTAAATGAATCAAGTTTTGTGTACAGTATGTGTCTAGCAAAGCCACCAAGGGCCTCTTCCCATGTTCTCTCCTTGGGGTTTTTTTTCCAGCCCTTTCAAGAACTCTGGGGACTTTCGAACTCATGAACCTTGTGCAAACCCAGAAGATGCATTCAGAGCCAGTCAGGCTGCTGACCACTCACTTTTGGGGACACAAGGGACTGGCTTGCCCATGTCACCTGTACCCATGCTGGGTCCAGAGTAGATGAGGCTTCCCACTGTCCCATGATGGGAGCTAGAGAGAGGCCGATGGCAGTGGCCCAGAAGGAATTGACCCTTTTCTGGTGACTGTTTCATTTTCTTAAAGGCTCCTGGAGCCAGCTGTCCTGACTCAGGCATCAGGATGTTCTCAGTGAGGCAAGCTCTTCACTGCCCCGGGGCATCAGTACAGGAGCCTGGAAGTGGGTCTGGGGCAAAGATCGTCCATGGCTGTTCATGGAGCACGGCCCTGTTTTGCTGCTTGGCTTTGGGCGAAGGGCTTTTCTTTACTGGCAGGATGGAGCTCTCCGCCCCATCCTTTTGTCTATGCTTCCAGCTCCCACGTTAGTGTTGGTTAATGAGGTGGTTTGCTCATTAGATTCCTCTCTCATCTGGGGTCCCTGCTAAGGGGGTGAGGTGAAGCTAGGGCAGCTCCTTTCCTGAGTTTTCATTTGAGTAATGCAGCTTAGTCACTGCACAGGCTAGGACAGTGGCAGGTGCCCCTGAGCAACGCTGCCTTCTGGGCAGGTGGGTGTCCATGCTTGAGATCAAGTTGGTGCCCATGTAAGTGCTAAGGCCCATGACATTTGTCCTGCAAAGCTAGGGAAGGTGAGATCAGCTGATAGAGCACCGTGGTAATAGTCTCTCCCAGCCCTACCCGTTAGTTTAAGCTGTTTCCAAGCAGTTCAGTTTCTCCCAGGGATGAAGCTTTGCTATGTGCTACCTAGTGAGGCAGCTGCATCTTGGAGACAATTGCAAGATTCGAGTGTGACTCCTGATTGCTTTGGAAGCTTGGTGACTGTCCAGCTGAACACTTCCAGCTGCTGGGTGTGGTGGCCACCTATCCCTGGCGGCTGCAGACCACTCTCTGTAGACTTTACTGGTTTTCCTTTCTAATTTTCCCAGACTGGTGGCTTGGGGTTTGGAAGCGGTCCAAGAGAAGGGAGTGAGTCTTCCCACCCTCACTGCAGCGTTGGGGAACAAAGAGCAATGTGAAGATGCTCCCCAGGATTTCCTCTTCCTGTCCTGCTCCCCAGGGAGAGCTGGGATTGGGGGCCACAGCGGGGAAGGCAGAGGTTATCTTACATAGGATTAGGTTCCAGGTGGCTGCCAACTTCCGCACAAGCACTACTGAAAACCCACACAGAAAGAGAGCTGTGAAATTGAGGTCTCCATTGAAGAGGCCTGGAGCAGAGCCTTTCAGCCAATGTGTTTGCAGGGTGGGGAAGAGGACCCGACCTGCTGGGACTAGAGAGCCTCTGCCCATTCCCTCAGCCAGGTTCCTAGAGAGCGGCTCCCGCCCTCATGAACTGTTGTGGAGCTGGGGAGCCCTGCAGCCTCCGTGGCCTGGCTTCAGATTCTGCTGCCAGGGTGACCTGTGCGGGGAGCCCCATGGGGCAACTGGCCCCTGGTGTAGTGGAAGAGGAGCTTCAGTTGTCCGGCCTGAGGAGGAGGGTGTATGTTTGTAGTCTGCCCAGCTGCTGAAGCTGTTCACTGAGCTGCAATCACAGGATTCTAGCTCTCTTGACTGTTTCCTTCTCTTTGTACTTTAAACAACAAAAACAACATTTTTTTTTTTTTTAATTTTTGAGGAGGTGCATACTTCAGGAGTGGTTGGCGTAAGGAAAGAACTCCCTAGTTCCATTGTGAAGCCGTGTGTTCTCTCCCCTCGCATTGGCCATCAGTGCTGTGCAAAGGTACAACTGATAGACTTGAGTGTTCGAGCAATGAACCCATCCGACATGCTGCTATGAAGACACTTTTAGAACAAAAACACACAAAATAGAAAAGGAAAAAAAAAAGAAAAAATGTGAAAAAAAAAAACCTACAAAAACACAAAAACCCCTTTTATTCTTCGTTGCTTTTACAGTGGTACTGTGCATGCAAACCAGGAACATTTTGTGTCTTAAGAAAAATAACGTTAGAACAGATGGCTGTGGGAATCATGCCGTGCCGAGAACAAGCCACTGAAGCATAGTTCAGGATTGGATTTTTCTCTTTTCCTTACAACCCTGAAGGGTTGAGATATTCTTTCCATGCAGTTATTAGAATTTAGTTTTGTTTCAGCAGTGTTAAACTTGCAATGAAAAGAAAATGTGCCATCCCCTGCCCCAGAATTATCGATAGCTGTCATCTGATACTGCTAATTACACACACGTGATGTATGGGTTTTTTTTGTTTGTTTTTTTTTTGTTTTTGTTTTTTTGTTTTTGTTTTTTTTTGGTTTTTTTTTGTAGTGAAATTCCTTCTGTAGCTATTCTTTGACCAAACTGTGGATATTGTTAATTTATATTTGTCTCATTATGTATGTATGTGTAGTGTGTTTGTGAGTATGTGTGGTTTATAATCTGATGAGTCATGAAACTCAGTTTGGCTGTAATTTAATTCCCCTTCCCTTATTTTTATTTATTTTTGTACTGTGCTGATTCAATAAAATGCACTGACCATCCATCCATTACATTGACCTCTTTGTGGACTCGCCATTTGGGAGCATGCGAGGGGCACCATTAATGCATGATTTGTGTATGTAGAGGTTTGTGCTGGACAGTTAGGGAAAGGGGTTGGCACAGACTTCCGTGAATAAGAAAGCAGCACCAGGAGAAGCCAGCTTTGGCTTAGTGGCTGGGCAGGTTCTCCCCAGGGGCTTCCTTTGTGGGGTCTCATGACAGGCAGCTCAAGCCACAGAGGGCCAGACAGATTTAAGCACAGCCTGGCCACCTCAGTCCTGCTTGGGCATCTGGTCTTAGAATGTACCTTGAGTCTTGGCACCAAGGCTGCCACTCCTACTTTCCCCTGGGCCTGCCTTGTTCAGTGTCAACTGCCAAATGCCAGCAGGGGTGGACAGGTGTACTGGTGATCCAACAGTTTAGCTTCAGAGGAATCTAGTCCTGGGTCTTCCAGGTGTGCCACTACCTCAGCTTGTGTCCAGTCTGCCTGTCGACCTCAGGAAGAGGGCAACGAGGGCCTGTCCTCTGCTGTTCCTCAACCCATTTGTGGGAGCCTGCAGACCCCATGGTCTGCCAGTGACTGCAAGACCCTCAGTGCTGAGCTCTTGGGGGCTAGGGTGCCCGGGGGGGGGGGGGGGGTGCATGATGGCCCAGCAGCTGCCGCAGGAATCCACAATGTCTTTTGTGCGGACGTGCGTTTATTTCAGAAACATGTTCCCTTAGGATTCTAGAGCGCAGCTTCAGAATGGCGGAAGAGCATGCCCAGATTAAATTCCAAGGCTGCCTCTTGCCTCTCTTCTCACACAGCTTGCTTCTCACTCCCTAACTTTTCTGTTCAAAGGCCTTGGGCAAATTACCCATATCTTCCCTAATTTGTGCGTGCTTCTACCTTCTGGGATGACAGTAGACTATATAAGCTAAAATTTCACCATTTTTCAATGATAAACAGTATGCCTTTAAAAATAAGATTTAATGCTTTATTGCTCTTGACGGTAAATCAAAATATGCTTTAGAAATAAAGTTAATTTAATGGAAAACAGGAATATGTGCACCAAACCACACACTGCATTGCATTAAATGGAGACAGCACTCCATGCACACAATCACTATGTCCCATGCCTTCCCTCACTGTGACCATTACGTCCCAGATTCCAGGCCCCTCAGTGGCCACACAGACTTTTAGGCCATAAGAAAGTGCTTGTGGGCAAGGCAGTTCCTCGGTGGGAGGTTCTGGCCTGGGTCAGGGGTCCCAGGCTATCAGAAGGTGAGAGGAGAGCTCCCACCCCAGCCTCCGATCTGCGACTCCTTTGGCATGACCTGCTTTGGTGTGCATGAACACACTCGAGCACGTCTACTTTAAAGCAACATGCTGGGGGAAGACGTGGGAAAAAAAGGTGACGTTCCCGTCAGATGGCTGTCAGCGTCCACTGGTGATTGGCAAAACCAGGCCGGCGGCACCTCCGCACTGCACAGGCAGCTGACCAAGCATGGAGGATGAGAAAGGCTCCTGAGGACAGCATGGCAACTGGAGTCTTTGTTGCAAACTGCCCACAGTATAAAAGGCCCACAGCTCTGCAAAAGGGGTTATGGGGGGGGGGCTAGAACCACCTTGGTCAGCCAGGTGACTCCCTCAAGTCCTGGGCGAGGCGTGAGGAGGTGACACACAGACACTTGGTGGGTTAGGGTGGCAAGGTGAGGAGAATGTGAGCCTGGCTCTGTAAGCCCTGCTGCTCCTGCCGGTTGTCCACTCTCAGCCTTCCGTGTTAGGCTCTCACAGCAAGCCTGCACAGCCCACAGGCCTCACATCCTCCGCACTGAGGCTGGACAGGGGTCTCAGGAAGGCCTCCGGAACAGGCATGCTCTTCACTGGGCAGACACAGGCAAGCTGGCAGCTCTTTCCCAGCGGGGTTCAGGGGCCAGGCTCCAGCAGGCAGGTGTGTGGCGTAGGTGGGCTCCCTGGCCTGGCCTGCAGTGCCAGGACTCCACGCTCTTTGCTGCAGCTTTGTCCCACCTCCCACAGCTGGGTCCTGTGTGCTCTGGCTCCCCACAAGTCCCAGTTCTGCGGTGAAGAGGAGGCATGGCTAGAAGAGTCAGGGGAAAGGGCCAAGCTAAGCACTACCCGCTCCTCACGAGACCTCATTCGTCCTGACAGTGTGATTACAGCAGAGGGAACATCTGACTAGCAACCTGGCAATCTGCAGGAAGGTTAAGCTAAGCTAACTGGTCCTTGAGTAGCAGCAGGGGGGCTCTATGGGAGAAGTGGTCAGAAAGTCCTGGCCTGGAACCTCGGTGGCAAAAGATGTCCCAGGGACAGCTCTGGAAGGAGGGACCCCTGGCTGAACATGGCTGAGGGATGGCTTCACAGGCAAATCTGTTCACCTGCTGCCTTTGGCTGGCTGCTGGGGTGCGGCTTGTGCTGAGGCTGCGATCATGGGGGGAAGGAAGGCTTCAGGTAGGGGTCACAGAGCAGGGCTAGTCCTCTGCGCATGGACACTAGCTCCTCTAGGAGAATGTGGCTTTGGCTGGAGAAACTGTCCCATACTCCGGGCCACCCATCCTTCTGCTGGGTCAGCAGTGGTCACTGGCCCTTTGCTAACTACAGGTACTATCCAGTTTCTTGTGAGGTGAAAAGTGGCCTGGCTGTCGGTCAGCACAGGAGGCTACAGAGGGTCTTTGGTTTCCTGAGCAGGGACTATGGAAAGTTGAGAAAACAGAGGCAGAGGCAGGGGTAGAAAGCCAGGCAGGATACCTCATGAGTGGGGCCTCAGAAGGCAGAGGAGCCCTGCCCACTGGAGGCCCTTGCAAGCTGATTTCTAGTGGTATTAGAGGGCAGACAGCAATTAGCTGGGCTCCTGGGATGCTGAGCAAGGTGGAACCAGTGGGGGGGGGGTGTGGAGAGGCCAAGGACCCGGCCAGCTTTGTGCCAGGCTCAGGCTCTTGCTCCCCTTGGCCAGACCTCTGATGTGCATCCGTCAGTTCCCTGGCACACTGAGGATGAAGCCAGAGCGGTTCTTGGTGAAGTCAGGCTGTGGCTGATTAAGCCGGGTCTCCACAGAGACGGTGCATTTCTTTCCATGCAGGCTGCACTGCACCGGGTTGGTGACGTTCACTTGAAGGTGGCGCTTCTCACTGGAAAGAAGGGAAAAGATAGGCAAGGCAGGCAGTGAGTGGGCAGACACAGAACCGTGTGGTTTCCTTGGCAACTCCCAGGGCCCTGGCATTTGCCAGGCTCCTGTGGGGTTGCAGTTTCAGGGTTCAACCTTCTTTCTTCCCAGGTGCCCACAGAGGCTTAGAGGAGTGGGGAGGAGACAGTGGCACTGAGGTGTGTGGTATGGCCAGCAGGTGCTGGGCAGGCAGAACTGGGCATCCAGGCAACGCTGTGTGCTGCTGGACCAGGGAGGTGGATATGGCCATGCCATCGGCACCAGGGCTGGGCTGAGTCACCTGGGCTTTAGGTGTTCCAGGAAAAAGGGTGTCAGGGCTCTGACTCATGACAGTTATCTCTGATTGCCAACAGGGAGACTAGGGTTCCCCCTAGTTCCCCCAAGGAATGCCTGCCTCGAAGCCAGTTGGCTGTTTGTCATGGAGCCTCCCCATCAGAATTGAGTCTGAGGCTGAGCCCTGGGGTACAGTAGGTCTGTGATCCCAGTTACTTGGGTGGTTGAGTCAGGAGGACAGTAAGTTCAAGACCAACCTGGGCTACAGAGTGAGCTTACAGCTAGCCTGGGCAACTGTCTGAGACCCTGGGTCAAAATAAGAAATTGGGAAGTCCTGGAGATAGAGACAGCTTGGTGGTAGAGCATTTGCCTAGCATGGGTGAGGATCTGGGTTCAATCCCCAGTGCTACCCACGTCAGCCAAAACAAAGTAGGGTCTGTGTTGACCCTACCAGAGAAGACTCTTCTTTCTTTGGAGCTGGGGAACCAGGCTTTGCCACAGAGCCCAGACAGCCCTGCAGACAGTCCTCACTGCCTGGCTGCTTCAGAACAGGCAGGTGGATGGTATCTCACTCCCTGTCTGCCTGAGCAGGGTCAGCCTGGGAGCCAGAGCCAGGGCTTCCTCACTGAGTGGAGGCCCACTCGGGGATGGCCTGCTGTGCTCTCCCTGCTGTAGAAGTGGAAGGCCTCGCCTCCAGCAACACACACTGTGCTGAACATTTTAAAGCTGAGAAATGTGTAAGTAGGCTGGCACCTAGTGTGCGTACACGCAACGCCACACAGTCCCACACTGCTTCTCAGCTGCTGCGGCGTCACTTCTTTCCGTGGGGAGGGGAGAGAAAGGCTTACAGCCTTAGGAGCTTCCAGGTGGGACGGGCAGCAACACTTGGTTTCTCTGCCTCTCTAGGGATTCCTTCCCTGTTGCTGCCCAGGTGCATGGCCGGGGTGAACAGGCCGGGTCTTCTGAACACAGCTGGTCTTCTTTGTCAAGAGAGCTCCCGGCACTGAATGCTGAGTACCTACCGGGTGGCCGTGTCCACCTCGCAGTGGGAAGCCAGGGCTGAGGCCAGCTTGTACAGGCTCTCCTTGTACTTGCCAAGCACTAGCTTTTCCAGAAGACCCAGTTATTCAGATTCTGATCAGGCTGCATGACATGCTACTGCTCCCAAGGATCAATATGCTGAGCATAGGTGCTTCCTGCAGCACCGACCCCAGGGCATGGTGCCCAGGGATACTTGGTGGCACCTACCACAGAAGGCACCAGGGTTGGAGGAGTTGAGGTGCTGTTTCCTACCTGCCTCATTAGCCAAGATGTGGAGGCAGTAATGGAAGCAGGAGAGCATACAGGCGCTAAGTATCAAATACCTAACATCTTGTCGGCCACAGCTAGAACCTGCGCTTAGATATTTTTACCCAGAGTTGGACATAAAAATAGCAGAGCGCCTTCAGAGGCAGTGACTCAGGTTCTTTTCCATTCCCTTGGGAATCAGGGGGCTCTGCAGGTTAGCTACATGGCCCTTGGCTGCAGTAGGTGTGTGTGGTCCTCTGTGGCTTCACACTGGCCCACA